TCTCATTTTACAGATGAGGCACTGACACCAAACAGGGTCCACAGTGAGTAAGTATCAAATCGGAAGTATGCTATGTATTACCAAACAGCATAGTTGGATGTTTTGTGCGCATATACCAAAACATTCATGCAGTTGTTTTTCTTGCAGCGGTATGACTGGAGATTTATATTTTCATTTGTATTCTATACATTCTCCTCTCCGCAGCCTGCGGGACTTTTCTGAAGCACACAGCTGATAAAGTTACTTCCTTGCTTAATTTCCTTAAATGGATCCCCTGTGCTCTCAGGAGATGCACATTTCCTATCATATAGGCTTCTAGAAGATAGACTTTTAGGGCAACCCAAAGGTCAGAAATCTAGGCGAGGTGCTCCATGGAAAGTTGGGACCCCCAAAGACTAAACCTTCAGTATGTTTCTCTTAGTGAGAAGTAAAACTATGGAGAAACTGCTTGATCAAGCTTGGCTCTGAGTGAAGAAAAATTCTCTCGCTTGAGAATTTGTAGCCACAAGTCAGTATCACGTTGTGGTCCTAAAACATCAAATGACAGGGGAGGTCTCTGGGGACATCCCAAAAGTTGAAAGCCATGCTGGGAAGGTCCCCCAGTCAACTAGCGAAAGAAAACACAAGACCTCTCTGGAGGAACTTAGCTATAATGCAGTATAATTCAGGCCTCAAAGAACTCCTACAGGTAAGTCCCAAGGAAAGTGAACAGCTCATAGTCAAAAATCACAAATACAGGAAGAAACAAGGCACCATATGAAAGTGATAGAAGGAATAATAGGCGGTAAAATCAGACATACATAGACTTCAGCGCGGGAATTATCAGAGAAGCATAATATTGCCGGGGCTGATGAGGTTAGAGATATAAAAGAGAAAATTGACAATGGAAGCCAGCATCAAGAGATGAAGAAATGACCAAGCAAATTTGAAAGCAAAATCTCAAGCAGAGCTTCTCAAGCAGTCTTTTTACCATAAAAAGCGAATTTAAAATTCAGTGACTGGGGCGCCTGGGTGGCGCAGTCGGTTAAGCGTCCGACTTCAGCCAGGTCACGATCTCGCGGTCCGTGAGTTCGAGCCCCGCGTCAGGCTCTGGGCTGATGGCTCGGAGCCTGGAGCCTGCTTCCGATTCTGTGTCTCCCTCTCTCTCTGCCCCTCCCCCGTTCATGCTCTGTCTCTCTCTGTCCCAAAAATAAATAAACGTTGAAAAAAAAAATTAAAAAAAAATAAATAAAATAAAATTCAGTGAATGGATTAAACGACACAGTGGAAAGGAGACTAGTAACCTAGAAGACGCATCTGTAGAAATTATCCAGAAAGCTGCCTAGCACACGAAGAGGTGGAAAATAAAAAAGAATGTAAGTGATGTGGAAAAATAGAAAAAAGAAACTTTAACATGTATTGAATTAGACTTCCAGAACGACATAGTAATAAAAATCATCATAAGAATTAGTGAATATATAGTACTTACTATGAGTCTCTATTCTAATTTTTTTAATGTTTTATTTATTCTTTTTTTATGTTTATTTTTGAGAGACAGAGAGAAAGCAGGGGATGGGCCGAGAGAGAGGGAGACACAGAATCCTAAGCAGGCTCCAGGCTCTGAGCTGTCAGCACAGGTCCTGATGCAGGTCTCAAACCCACGAACCGTGAGATTATGACCTGAGCCGAAGTCGGACGCTCAATTGACTGAGCCACCCAGGCACCCCATAATGTTTTATTTATTCTTGAGAGACGGAGAGAGACAGAGCATGAGCCAGGAGGGGCAGAGAGAGAGAGAGGGACACAGAATCCAAAGCAGGACCCATCAGGCTGACATCTGAGCTGTCAGCACAGAACCCAAGGTGGGGCTCAAACTCACAAGCTGAGAGATCATGACCTGAGCTGAAGTCGGAAGTTCAACCAACTGAGCCACCCAGGCGCCCCTATGAGGCCCTATTCTAAACTGTTACATAACTAATCCATTAATCTTCACAACAAACCTATGGTTTTGAGTAAATGAACAAATGAGTAAATAAATTTTTCTGATCGCTTTAAATACTTCACAGTTAAGTTTTTAAACTCAATTTGGCTGCGGCACGGGCACATGAAAGGAAGCCATAAGAGCTAAGGCTCTAGATGATCTGAAAATAATCTAGCTAACAAACATCATACGGTAGAGGGAGGTTGGTGATAATATGTGCAGTGTGCTAAATTCCTTATCTTTCATAAAGGGAACTCAATATACCTGTTGTTGGCATTGACAAATCGAAAGCAGAAATGTAGTTTCATTATACAAAGCTATAACTTTAACATCTAAAAGAATTAAGGATGGAAACAAGAGGGGCGCCTAGGTGGCTCAGTTGGTTAAGCGTCCGACTCTTGATTTCAGCTCCAGTCATCAGGTCATGATCTCAGGGTTGTGAGATCGAGCCCCACCTTGGCCTCCATGCTGAGGGCAGAGTCTGCTTGAGATCCTCTCTCTCCCTCTCTCTCTGCCCCTCCCCTGCTGGCACACTCTCTCTTTCTAAAAAAAGAAGAAGGAGGAGGAGGAGGAGGAGGAGAAGAATAAGAATAAGAATGGAAATTAGACCTACTGGTTGTTACCGAGGAACACAATTGGGAAAGACTTCACTTTCACTTTATACACCCCAGTGTCATTTGAAATAAAATTAATTGTGCATACCTTGCTTCTGTAATTAAATTTTAAAAAGATCAAGGAGAGCTTGGCTGGCTCAGTTGGTAGAACATGCGACTTGATCTTGGGGTTGTGCTTTCCAGCCCCACATCGGCTGTAAAGATTATAACTGAACAGACTTTAAAAAGATCAAGCGAGCCAGGCCACCCAGGGCCTTGAATGCCAAGCAAACAATTCTTTAGCTATGGAAGCTCACACTGCTTGGTGGATGGTTTACTGCCCAGGCTCACAGAGGGCAGCAAAAGCCTCCAGGGCAGCTAGCTATTCCTCACAAGGCGGGGGACCGGATGGGGTAGGATGGGGACAGGCTGAGATAAGTGATTGGAGTCATGGCAAATGAAAAACATCTCGTGAAGTTTCTTGTTTGACACATCTCCAGGATCTCATTTGCCAGTGCCCTTTCGGCAGGAAATCACAGGGGCTGTCATCCAGCATCCTGATAAGCCTCAGGCAGTCACCGAACTTCACTCCTGCTACGGCAGATATCTTGCCATCCAGAGGGGAGTGAAACATTCTCCACTACCTGCCAATCTCAGGAAAGCTCTTCCTTTTCTATTCTCTGCTTCCAGCAAGAAGAATGGTGCTCAGGTAAGAGCCTGCTCAAGAACTATCTTCTTGCAAAAGCAGTTTTGTTTTCTTCCTCTTATGCTCATGAATTCATCTCAAGGCAGGGCATGCAGGACACCAAGGGCACCCCACGGCAAATCAGGGGGCATGAAGCTCCCTCATGATGCTTTGGGTGCTGGCAGCTTGGACTGTGGGAGAGCCAAACAGGATCCACCAAGTTCTTTTTGCTTCTATCCTCTCTCCCTATACTCTCTCTTTCTCTCCAAACATTCAAATCTGCAACTATGGAGAGGTCTGTTTTGCTACTTTTAATTTAGGGAGCAAGATGGCAGGCTGGCATGAGACTCCAAAGCTAAATTGTTTTAACAACCTCCGCTTTCACAGATTTGCTTGCTATTCAAAGGTGGGGTTTTTGTTTTGTTTTGTTTTGTGGCTCCTGTATCTGGCATTACCCCAGCAGAAAATGTAGGGCACAAGCTAACAGGATATTTGGAGCGTTTAATGAAAGGTCTGGTTACACAGGTATGGGCAGAGCTAAGGAAAATCTATAAAGGATGCTGACTGAAGCCCCCAGAGATAAGGCCTGAAGAGAAAGGGGAAGAAGTTACCAGAACCCAGGAGGGCTGTGGCGGTAGGGGTAGTTGTAGCTGTGCCTGTAGGAAAGGGCCACCAGACGGGCTCTAAGTCCTCAGGCAGACTAACACCTCCACTGCCAAACTGCAGCCTGGTGGACAGAGAGAGCCAGAAAGTCACAAACCCCCAGCCGCCCTCCTCGCGCCCTCCAGCTCCTGTCTGTGTCTCCCTTTCACTGAAAGCAACCAGGAGCCAGAGACAGAGGGAGCCCACTGATGAGGACGATAAGGACAGAGAGGCGGGTAGAGAAGATGGAAATGAGATGTGATGGCAAATGGGGAAAATCCATCTCTTCTTATGGCCTCCTCCCAGTTGATGTTTCCTGGGACTTCGTGTCTCTATGCGAGTCGGTCAGTTTCTCATTGTATCTCCTCAGTATGTTTGTTTCACTGTTTGCATCTCCGTATCTGGTGTCGCTTCTCCGGAATAATCTCTCATTATCATCATAGATGCCTTGAGAACTGATTTCAATTTTGTAGGGTTTTTTGTTTTGTTTTGTTTTTTACAGTAGGAGTACACAGGTATTTAGAAGTACTTTAAGTTTATGATTTTGGCTGCCCTAGAAAGAAATCCATTGTAAGAGTGACCTACACTGTGTCCCCCACAACAGAACTGGGCACTGGGGACACACTAATGGACAGAAAGAAAAGCACTTCCTGTCCTCATAGAGCTCACACACTGGGCCATTTCTGGCCAAGAGGCTTGGCCATACTCATACCTGTCATAGAAAAAGGTCACATTCCTTTCATGACCCTAAATCACGATCTCCTTTCTGGTGGATGGACCACGCTCAGTCACTGAGATTGTCCACAGGTTATGCCTGAGTCTTCTGACTTCCTTGTCTTAAGAGAAAATCTCAGTCCCGGGCAGAAAGAATGCCAAGCTCAGAGTCCTGTTGTCATCACACATAACCCGTCCAGACTTTTCAATTCCTGCCTCCCCCCGCCAGACCTGGCATGAGCCCTAGAATATTCCCATGTCAGTAGAGGGTCCATGTTGCGGTAGAGAGAGCCCAGTTTTAGAGTTAGAGAGAACTGGTCTGAATCCAGGTTCCAGAACTTCAGAGCAACGTGGCCTTCAGCAAGTATCCTAATTTCTGCAAGCCTCCGTTTCCCTCCTCGGTACCATGGAGACAGTAATCCTCATGTGGCAGGCTGGCCCTGAGAATCAGGGGGCACACAGCAGGTGCTCAAGTCTTGTTTGTGTTCCCAGGAATACCAGTGGAGGGTTTCTGAGCATCGATCCTACCGCCCCGGCCTGGGAGGGCACACTCACACCAGCGAATGGAAGTGACGAGGACCATCTTCCAAGTAACAACGTGGAAATCCTGATCGTGACTTTGCTGACCTTCACCTTTGCCCTGGGCGGGCTGGTGGGAAACGTGACCGTGCTCTGGCTGCTGGGCTGCCGCATGCAGAGGAACGCTTTCTCCGTCTACATCCTCAACCTGGCAGGAGCTGACTTCCTCTTCCTCTCCTCCCAGGTTGTATATGCCCTGGAGGCGCTCATCAACTTCCATTCGGTGTACTTTTCCATCCCCAGATTTTTCACCACCATGTGGACCTTCGCCTACATCGCGAGCGTGAGCATTCTCAGCGCCATCAGCACCGAGCGCTGCCTGTCGGTCCTTTGTCCCATCTGGTACCGCTGCCACCGCCCAAGACACACGTCAACTGTGACGTGTGGCCTGCTCTGGGCCCTCTCCCTGCTGCTGAGCATCCTGGAAGGGGAGTACTGTGGCTTCCTGTTTAGGGATTTTGACCCTGGATTGTGTCTGGCGTTTGATTTCGTCATGGCCGCCTGGCTGATTTTCTTATTTGTGCTTCTCTCTGGGTCCAGCCTGGCCCTGCTGACCAGACTGCTGTGGGGCTCCCAGCGGATGCAGCTGACCAGGCTGTATGTGACTGTGGGGCTCACAGTGTTGGCCTTCCTCTTCTGCGGCCTGCCCTATGGCATTCACTGGTTTCTCGTATTCTGGATTCAGCAGGGTTTTGATGAGTCCCTCTGGTATCTTTATCTGGCTGCGCTCACCCTGTCCTGTGTCAACAGCTGTGCCAACCCCATCATTTACTTCTTTGTTGGCTCCTTCAGGCAGTGGTGGCCCCGGCAGCGGAAGACCCTCAGGATGGTTCTCCAGAGGGCCCTGCAGGACGCATCGGGAGGGGATGAAAGCGAAGTCCGCCTGCCTCAGGAAACTCTGGCGATGTCGGGAAACAGTCTGGCGCCCTGATTCGGCGTCTGCCTCAGTCAGAGAAATGTGGCTTTGAGAACCAACTCTGTCCCTATCGGTTGGAGAGGTTTTCTTCACTCTCTCGGCCTTGGGGCCCCTGACCTTCAAACCCTAAAGTTGTAAGATAAGCCTTACGGTTAAGATAATATCCTCCCTCGTGAGGACTGCGGCGGTACCTGTGAAACAAACACTGAGTGTCGCGCCTCAGGGACTGCCTTCCCCAGGGCCTTCGCTCCACCCCAAACTCTACCAACTCCGGGGTCCCCTTTAGGAGAACCCCACCTTCAGCACAGGCTGAAAGCAGCGCAGGACGGTCTAAATTCGTTTGGTCGCTGCACTTGGGAGGGACTGGAAGAACATTCCATTCTGTGGTCACCCTCCTGCATCCTGTCTCCATAAAATTGAAAGAATTAAAGAGCAGGCTAGCCTCAGAGAGCAGTCTTCTTTGATTTTGGTAGGGCCTAGAATATGTCCCTACCTTAATGTTTATTGAATCCAAGACTTAACGAACGAATAAATGACGAATTTTTAAACCAAGCCTGTGCTAAACACCCATTTCCCAGAATTGAGTCACCATCCGTGAGTTTTTCCTTCGCCATTTTCAGTCTGTGCGAGCAAAGTTAAGTTTTATAACTGGATAAATCGACGTTGAAGCATGCTTAAGGTTTGAGGCAGGTCATCTTGCTATGATTTCCTGTCCCAAGCCCTCCTGCGGAACCTCATAGGGGTCCCTTCTCACTCCTGCTGCACCCCCACCCAAGTGCTCTCGCCCTGGTTCTCCCTCCCGGGAGCTCTCCGGTCCTTCGTGGCAAAACGTCTAGAACACTAGACTCTTCTCTAGTCCTCAGAGAACAGGATCTTTGTCAGATTTACTTCTTATTCCGCAGAGCTCCCAACGTTAGTTGTATAAATCTGATTACAAATACCTCTAAAGTTACACGTTCTATAAAAACAATATATTAAGTTCAAATGTTGCATCTTTTAATAATTTTTTACTTTTTTAATTGAGGTGCAATCAGGGGAGAGTGATTGCACAGATCACAAGTGCACAGTTCAGTGAGCTTTGGCAATGGTATACCCACGTGACTCGATCCCCAAGCGAAACATAACACATTTTCATCACCTCTGAAAGTTCCCTCATGTCCCTGTTACATACTCCTCCTGCCCCAGAGGCAATCTTTATTCCTATTTCTTTTTTTGTTTTTTGTTTTTTGTTTTTTTTATTCCTATTTCTATCACCAAAGATTAGTTTTACCTGATCTTCGGCTTCACATACTTAGGATCATTCAATGTACTCTTCTGTTCCTATCTTGTATCACTCAGCGTAATATTTTTAGGATGTACCCAGGCCACGGCAATTGCATATATCAGCAGTCTTTTTGCTAAACCTGAGCACTATCTCATCGTGTGAGTGCACCGGTTTATTTTCATACGGGTAGATATCTATGTAGTATTCTATCACTGGCTATTTTGAATAAAGCTACCGTGAACATTCTTATTCACATCTCTTTCTGAATATATGTTTTTATTTCCCTCGGATAAGTAACCTGAAGTGAATTTGCTGGGTCACAGAAAGATGTCTGCTTGACTCTGAAGAAATGCCAAGCTCCTTTCTCAAGTGGTTATGCTATTGCACATTCCCAACAGCGATGTCTGAAAGTGCCAGTTTTGCCAGATCCTTCTTCACAAACACTGCCAGTCTTTTGAATTTTAGTCATTCTAATGAGTATAAAGTGGTATCTCGTGGTGTTTTAATTTGCATTTCCAAAGTGACTTGTGAAATTGGCATCTTTTCCTGTGCTTGTTGGCTACTTGTATTTTTTTTTGAAGTGTCTAAGTTTTGCCCGTTTTTATTAAGTGTTTCCCTTTCTCTGTTATTTATTTGTAGGAGTTTGTATACATGCTGCATGAGTCTTTCCTTAGGTGCGTTATAAATATTCATCCTGTTGGTGGTTTGCCTATTGATTTTTATTTTTAAAATTTTTTTAATGTTTATTTATTTTTGAAAGACGGAGACAGAAAGAGAGGGAGAGTGTGAGCGGGGGAGGACCAGAGAGAGAGGGAGACACAGAATCTGAAGCAGGCTCCAGGCTCTGAGCTCTGAGCTGTCAGCACAGAGCCCAAAGCAGGGCCCAAACCCACGAACTGTGAGAACATGACCTGAGCCGAAGTTGGACGCTTAACCAACTGAGCCACCCAGGCGCCCCTCGCCTATTTATTTTTAAATAGTTTTGTACTGTAGAGCGCTTTTAGATTTATGGGAAATTTTCACAGGAAGTACAGAGGGTTCCTGTCTACTCTCTCTCCCCATCCCCATTCCTCCCGCCCACAGGTTCTCCTATTACTAATGTCTTCCATTAATGTGGTACATTTTTTAAAATTGATGCACTAATATTGATACATTATTATAAACTGAAGTCCATAGTTTACTTTAGGGTTCCCTCTGTGTGGTATATATAGCTCAATGGATTTGACAAATGCAGATTATCACACATCTATCATAATAGTATCATATAGAGCAGTGTGTCTGCCCCAGAAATGAATACGTAGGTGTAGGGTCTGTTGTTGTTTCTTTTTTGACTTTTATTTGCATGTATTTTATGCAGAATTTACTCCCAGGCCATAAGTTTTAGTTTCTCCGGTTTCTTCTGTGATATCTTTTTCTTCTGTGCAACTTCCTCTTCTGGTTTAGGACCACTCTGCTCTTTTTCTGTAAGGATCATCTCAATGTGGCAGGGAGAGCTCACGTGTGGGTTAATCTGACCGTGAGCCCTGTAAGTTCTGTGCCGCATCTTGGGGGCTTTGTTCACCCGGATGTGCTCCATGACCAGAGAATCTACATGTAAACCCTTAAGTTCAGCCTTACTCTCTGCATTTTTAAGCACGTGCAGTAAAAATGCAGCACTCTTTTTGGGCCACCGACCCTGTGCCCAGCCCCACTGTTTGGCCTGGACACACCTACCAACTCCACCATTGTAGCGTTGTAACATTGCTTCTGCAAAGTGACGTCTTTCAGAGACGTGGTGACTTTTCGGATACGCCTACCTTTGAAGGCCTGGGCAGTTTCACGTGTGTTCTTAAAGTGAACATGAAGGCTTGAACCTCTTGATTGGCATGATTTTGTGGGGGTTCCCGGGTCAGGTGAAGAGCGAACAATTTTCAGATATCATCTCAGGCCACTTATGGGAAGAGCTATTATTACTATTATTATTTATCCTGGTTTGGGTTCTCTGTGCTACCTGGATCTGTGGTTTGGTGCCCGCAAATAATCTGGAAAGCTCTTCGCCATTATTACTGCATATATATGTTCTGTTCCTTTCTCTCTTCTTTTGATATTCCTATTCTATGTATTTTTTACCTCTTGTAATCATCCTACAGCTCTTGACCATTCTGTTCCCTTTTTTTTTCAGTCTTTCTCTTTGATTTTCAGTTTAGGACGTTCCTATTAACTTATCTTGAGGCTCACTGGTTCTTTCTGGAGTTTTATTTATTTACCTATTTATTTGTTTCAAGGGTAGAGTTTAGTGATTCATCACTTACATATAACACCCAGTGCTCATCCCGACAAATGCTCTCCTTAATGCCCATCACCCATTTTCTCTACCCCACCCCCATCTCTGTCAACCCTCAGTTTGTTCTCTGTATTTAAGAGTCTCTTATGGTTTGCCTCCCTCTCTGTTTTTATCTTATTTTTCCTTCCCGTCCCTTATGTTCATCTGTTTTGTTTCTTAAATTCCACATATGAGAGAGATCATATGATATTTATCTTTCTCTGAGTGACTTATTTCGCTTAGCATAATACACTCTAGTTCCATCCATATTGTGAGGCCCACGGATTCTTTGAAAAGCTATAGCTAGTCCAGTCAAAGGCATTCTTCACTTATGTTATAACGTTTTTATTTTTAGCATTTCCTCCTCCTTATAGTCTTCATCTGCACTTGCTTTTTGTCCACTCTGTCCGCTAGATTCCTTAACCTATTAATCACAGCTATTTTAAATTCCCAGCCTTCTAATTCCAAATCGTCAGCCATATCCTGAATTCTTTACATCTTATATAAGGAATCGGTTGATCCTATTGTTAATACTGACAGGTTACAAGACAGAAGTAATACTTTACAAATCAAATCTATAACTGGGACACCTGGGTGGCTCAGTGGGTTAAGTGTCTGACTTGGGCTCAGGTTGTGATCTCGCAGTTCGTGAGTTCAAGCCCCATATCTGCTCTATGCAAACAGCTCAGAGCCTGGAGCCTGCTTCGGATTCTGTGTCTCCCTCTCTCTCTGCCCCCCATCCTGGCTCATTCTCTCCCTCCCTCTCTCAAAAATAAATAAACATTAGAATCTAAAAACACAAAAACAAAAACAAACCCCAGATCAAATCTATGACTGAAAAGAGTCTAGAAACAAAACTGAAACAAGTTATTGCTTCTGAAGGAGAGGGCTCGGGAAGACTTACTATTCACTTGGTCCACTTCTATGTCAATTGGAAAGAAAATGTAAACCTGCGTGCATTACTCCTAGGACAATGAAAGAGCGTGGGGCAGGCCATGGAGGGCCTTGAATGACAAGTAAGGAGGGTGTCTTTATTCTTAGCTATAAAGCCTCCCAGAGCAGGCTCACATTGCTTGGCATGGCTCCCTACCCACACAGCTGGCAGCCAGAGGCTACAGAACACCACTCCTCTGCAGGCATGGGCAGCAGACAGGGTGGGGACAAACAGAGGTTGAGAGAGAGGGTAATAGACTCAACTCAAATGGCGAGAAACATCTCGTGAAGGGTCACGACTCAGAGAACCCCACACTCTCACACGCCAGCAGATCCCCGCACAGGAGGTCACAGGGGCCATCCAGCATCTCGATAAGCCTTGCTCCCGCACCAGGCTTCACCACCGCCACCGCTGCCGCCAGCAGCTCCCCAGGGCAAAGAAGCGTCCTGTGGCGACAGTCAATCACAGGACAGTACAGGGCAGCTTGTCACCTCCAGCCAAAAGAATGGAGGAAA